ACATCCATTTTTTGTTGTTGGGGTGGTGGTGGTTTTCAGAGCTCTTTGAAATGCAAGGCAACACCTGGGGCTTTGTTCTCTTTCATATTCCATGGAATATCGTTGAGAAGCTGCTAATTTTAGAAGGGCCTCTATCTACAGAGACAGAAGCTGAAACATATTTTCTGTACGTTTGGGGGATCTTCTGTGTGCCAGGTAGCCATACCACCCGTGAAAACATGGGGGCCGGCTGCAGGGCTGGCCCAGGACAACCAGAGCGGACTGGGGGGCCCTTATTGGATATTTGAAATCACAGTTGCTGGTTCCCTGCACCCCTTCTTTCCTCCGGCTGTCCTGGCCCCTCTTCTCAGCCACTTCTTTTTCCCATCCTGGACCCTCTCTGTCCATTTATGTCTCTCCCCACCGCCTCCACCAATGCTCACTGGCACTTTGGCTATTCCTCAAGTGTGCGCAAAGTTTAAGAAGTTATTTTGCAGTATCTTGAGCTCTTCAGAGGACAATTGCTCCGAAATCTAATAATTCATAATAAATATAGTTCCGGACGATGGAGTAGTGGCGATGTGTTGGGAGTAATAGCCGCTTTGCCAGGGCTTTGGGGTGATTATTTGAAAGGTTTTTTCCCATTAAATTTTGTATTTTTTGTCTATGAGATGGCCTTCATTATGGTCCTTTTATGCTAGTTCGTTGGTTACCAACTTAAATTAAGAAAATGCTGTGTGATTCTTGATATTTCCATTAACTTTTCTGTTAAATATGACATTTATACACACACATTTCTATAAACTTAGTTCAAGGGTATCAGGAAGAAAGCTTTTTTTCCTCCTCATGTTTGCTGTTCATGAAACACTCGAGGGACAAATCGTTTCCATGATATTTTAGTGGTTTTTAAAATAAATTTTAGATATTGTGTTTTATTTCGTTTTCTCAGTAGGCCCAGCACATCGGAAGATTTTGTCTATTGAAAAATTGCTTTTACTGAGGACTAATTATTAGTTTCTTTAACTTTGCTGTAATAAAGGCATGCACCCCAGCCCCCCGCTTCCAGTCCCTGTGGGTAGTTAGGGCACCATACCTGCGTGTGGATGCATTTGACACACGGTCGCTCACATGAGCCCAAGTGAGCCTCAGTGGGGCCTTCCTGAGCATACATCAAGCTGCCTTAAATCCTTCTTGGAATAAGGTGGGGGAGTAAATAAGAAATAAATATTGATGTTAAACGTATAATTCTCTTGGCTTCTTGACATGTGGACTTGGGTCACTAACTCTCATTATTACCTTTCTGGAACTTTCTGGGGGGACCCTGGTTGTGCATTGACGCTCTTGGGTAAAGAACACTGGAGTGGCTTTAATCTCAACCTCAAAACCAACGGGCTCTGTACCCTCAGGCCACATCTTTTCCTTCAATGTTAGGTTTCTCAGCTGAAAATCAGGACTATCATAACTGGCACAGATTCCTGTCTCCTAGAGTTCACTTGTTCATTTCTCCAATTGTTTATTCATTGGTTTATTTATCCAATAAATACTTATTTTGAGTACCTGCTTGTTTCCAGACAGGTCTAGGAGAAAGAAAAGTGACTAAGAAGGTCCTTGAGGTAATGGATCTCACGGTATAGTGAGACTATTTTGAAAACTAAAGTGGATATCAATATTAACTTTATATAAAATATTTTATTATGCATCCCATGCATGTAAAAATTTCATTGAGTAATGAAATAAATGTTATCAGGATTGAATATGGGAAACAAAAAATCCATTTTCTGATTTATCTCAGCTGTCTTTTCTTCTCTGCCTCTGCACAGTTCAACCATGATCTGCCATGTGCCTCTGCCGTGGGCAGTAGAATAGCCTCTCGGCTTCCTTCTGGGTCTGCTCTGAGGGCTTGGCCTCTTTGCATCCGCTGTTCCATTTCCAGGTGGGAAGACCACTGTCCCTGCTGTGGTGTAGACTCTGGTCATATTCTTTTCTGATTTCACTTTTTGACCTTGCATCTGCATCTTTCTGTAGAAATTCTGTGCACTACATAGTGTGCATGTGTTAAGTCCTAGAAGTGCTGGTCACCACCCAGTCGTCCTGATGGCCATCACCCAGTGGTTTTGATGGTCACCACCCAGTGGTCCTGATGGCCACCACCCGGTGGTCCTGATGGCCACCACCCGGTGGTCCTGCTGGCCACCACCCAGGGCCCTGCTGGTCACCAGCCAGGGCCCTGTGGTCACCACCCAGTGGTCCTGATGGCCACCACCCAGGGCCCTGCTGGTATTCCAGGGGTGTTGGTGTGTTTCACTCCTTTCGCATCTGACGGGTGTTGGCACTCACATGTTCTTCCCTGTGACCTTTCCTGGAGTCACTAAGGTAGGTAGGCAGTCTGGGTTCTTTGGGCAGACCCAATTCTAGCAAATTCTCGTCTCTCTAAAACATGCCACTCTACAGTTGTACCCTCCTCCTGCTTCTTACTGGGGAGGGAATACAGCTGGACAGGAACGTGGAAAGCCTGCCGTTAGGTCGCGCGTCCTTTATGACAGAAGGCCCAAAGTTGTATTTGAGCCTGGAAACGTTAGATCATAAAAAAACATATTTAAGGGACAAATTTAGTTATTTGGTTATAAAACATTAAGTCCGGCATTCTTCTAAGTGTGCCTTTGCAAATGGCAAAATCTGATGATAATAAAATTAATAATAGTGGTGAACATTGTCTCTATAATTTAAGCTTCATGGGGACAGAGGTTTTGTTTATGTTGCACACACAGTACCTGGAACAGTGCCTGGGAAGTAGTAGGTGCTCAATAAATATGTGTAGAGAGACTGAATTTACTCTATTCCTGCACATGTGTATAATGTACTTTAATTTTTCTAGCGATCTAACTCTTATCTCTGTTATGCAGAGTGAAGCTCCCTGAAGTTAAGGTTCTATGGATAGGTCACATAGATTGTCATGAGGTTGTATAGAATAAGGGGGTACGGTCTTTTAAGTTGAGCCCAGGTAGGTCTGATTCTTTGACCTCCGAAGCCATCCACATGTTGGTGTTAGTGTTTGCCATGCACCTTGCAGAGTCCGTGTGTGGTTGTTGGGGTGTGGGAATGGCACTCCAGATGCCTGGTCATCCCTGCCCTTCTGTCCCCAGCTGCTGCGGTGCCGCATTGTCCTCAGGTACAAAGCAAGGGAGGCAGCCCAGAGGATCCCTGACATCTGTCCTCCTTGGAAAGCCATGTGTCTGGGTAGCTCCTGCACCTCACTTGTGAATTTTCCTGTTGCTGTCATGCTCCCCGCATGAAGTAGGAGCAAAAATCTTACCTCTCACATGTGTACACATTACATGTATACCTGTGTTTATTTGGGCACACACTTCTTTGTTTTTGTTTCTCCCCTGGCTGCAACGTTATTTTGTAGGAGAGACTGGATGACTTCATTACATCAAGCTCCGAAGGTTAGGGATGTTTTTAGAAATATTCCTCATTTCTAAATGATTCATCCTGTGTCTCACTTATTAATTTATCTGAAGTCTTCTTGAGCAGTTTTTTACTTTGTTGTTTACTCTTCCATGCTCCCTGCTGGTTGGTTTGTACTTGGCAGTCTTGTGTGAGAGAGGGGGCAGCAGATATTTGCCGTGAGGAAGCGGGCGGTAACTCCGTTGTGCTGTGACCCGCTTCTCCAGGGCATCCCACGGCTGCCCACCACAGCCATTGTGTGCCGCCAGACTCGGCTGGCCGAGACCAGACGCCCAGTAGGTCGCTCCCATTGCTGTGTGGGTGGGGGACCTGGGAGCTCTAAGATTTCCAAGAATTGGCAAAGTGGATCATTAAATCACAGTGTTCTAGGGGGAAAGCCTACATGGAGAGTATTTGGTTTGTTTACTGGGCAGGGTGGTGTGTTCCTGGGTGAGCCTGAGGGAAAAGTATTTCTCGAAGGCAGGGGCCGGGCTCTGAACCTCCACGGGCCTCAGTAGAGGCTGAGTGAATGACTCCGCTAGCCTGTCGGAGAGGCCAGGTGGACTGGGTCCAGTGCCAGGAGGAGGAGCCAGGGTTTTTTGAGGGGAGGCCTCTTAGGAAAAGAAGTCCAGAACTATAAACACAAAGTTAGGTGTGAGGGTGGCTAGTATGAGAGAGGAAATCCCAAGAAACAACAAGTCTTAAAAACCTGAACAGCATGGCAAAATCCAGAAGAATAGCATATTATTATTAATTAGCTCCTGACATAGCTGTTTTTCTAAATGTTCTGCTCGGACAGATAATCCAGTCTTTCCTCCAGAATGGGTCATGGGAGGGGGTCTTTTATTTCTGATGGGTGGGGTCTGCGAAACATGTGACCTGCTGCCAGCTCAGCTTCCCCTTATCAAATCTAGAGCAGGGCCCAGCGGTGGCCTCTTCAGTGGGAAGGGTGGTGGGAGCGGGGAGCAGGGATGAGGGCTCAGACAGCAGGCTCCCAGCCCCAGTGGGATGTCCTACTTTTGCAGAGGGTCAGAGGCCACAGGGATTCCTAGGGCGCCAAAGAAGGGGCCAGCACGAGCAAGGGGCTCGAGGCTTCGGGGGCATCATACGAACCCCCCTGTTTAGAGCCCTGTCTAATGAGATAATGCTGTGAATTAAAGGAATAGTTGATATTTCAATCCTAACATTTTATTTATTTATTATTTTTTTAATTAAAATTTCCAGGGAGCCTCAAAGCTCAGCTCCTTTTGAACTCTTGAAAGAAACTTTTTTTTGTCATTCCCCAAAAAGTGTGGCCGTGTAATGATTTCATTATGGAAGAATACAGACACCTTGACTGGGAGCTTGTTCTGTGAAGAAGCACATGTTGTTATGCGAAATACTACGTAATTTCATCGTCACAGAGTTACAGGATCGTTATAAAAATGATAAAATTATGAAAATAGCTTTTTATAAAAAATCTAATTTGCGTAAACTTTCATTTTAAACTGCCAGCTACAAGAGAGTTCTCACTCTCTTGAACGTATCTTTTTGAGAATAAAGTCTCAGTTCCTTTTTTTTTTTTTTTTTAATAGATTCTACCTGTCTTCTTCCTTGCCTGGGATATATATACACTTCAGTTAGAAGGAAGAGGCTCAGAAGCATGAACTATGAGGAAAACGCGCTCTGCACAGCAGGGGGAAAGCCTGGGGTCAGTTTCCCCAGTTTTGAGGAGCCCGGTGTTTCTGGAGTGCCGTGCCTCGGGGGCCGGGTGTGGCCATGGCCCCCGCCCGGCTTGGCTCCGCGTTGCCGGTATATGGACCTCACAGGGTCAACAGGCCTGACGCTCGTGCTTGAGCCCACTGGTAGGACTGACCCTTTAAAGATAAGCTGTACACTATTGACCTTAAGTAGGAATGTCTTTGGAGGGTGTAAGGTCTAAACAAGTCAAGTGTCATTTTACCAAGCAAACCTAAATTCGTATGCTGCTGTCTTCAGTAGGGGTCTTTAAAGGCTGCCCGCTCTTTCTCTCTTGTTCACGGTTTCCGGCACGTCACTTCCCCCCGAAAGTGATAACTCTGCAAATTTCAAGGACAATGACTTGGCTTTTAGAGAGAGAGAGAGAGACATTGCTACTTTTTTTTTTGGCCAAGTTTGGAATTTGTATGAGATATTTTGAGAATGTGTGTAAAAGTTCCAGTGTCCTAGCGTTCCTGAGAAACTTCGTGGTTTGCAGATGGGTCAGGTCCTGTGAGGACCTGAATGGTCCAGTGACTGGCGCGTCTTGCCACCTTGCGTGCGGAGCCCTGCACCAGGCGTCGGGCCTCTGGTGCTGTATTAGCTCTTTGCTGGGATCGTCGTGCCAGGCCCCGTGCACACGTGTGTTCTCTCCCCTAGCCTTGGCCGCGAACCACAGATTCCTGTTTGAGTGAAGACGTGGCCCCCCTGCTGCCCACCCTGACGGGAGTCCTGTGGGCTAAGCTGCCTTGCACAGTAGGATGTGGCCCACGGCATCCTCTCTGGGGACAGCCTTCCACGCTGCTCAGGGGCACTCACCAGGTGCTAGTGCTTTCTCTTCTCCCCTCTTGTAAGTTACTTCAACTAAAGGATCCCATCCCACAATTCTGTAACCATCACAAAACACAAACCTACTCAATTTTGATCTTCGGAGTCGCTCAATAATTTTTAACAGCCAGTCAAACCTGCTATTTAGATTAACGCATTCAGAACAGCGGCTCATTTACTGCGTGTTTTCAGATTTTAAGCGAGGGTTTTGAGGTAGGAAGACAGTGCTCGAGTGACGTCTGCTTGGGCACCTGCGCCCGCTAGGCAGGACGCGGCCTGGCTGGGGTAGCTTCTCCCGTGGGCTACTCCACTGACAGTTTCTCCCTGTCATTGATCCACCCATATTTACTGAGTGCTTATTGTTTTTGGTGCCAGGAACAGTAGTGAGCACATCACGTTCTCCAGGGACATGGGTCACCTCTCCAGGACGCGGCTTGAGTGTTCCGCAACGTTTGGATCTGTGGGTTCCAGATTCTGGGGTGGGGTGGGTGGTCTGGCCCGACAGTCCTGTGACACTTCTGGGAATTAGAAGAGGTGTCCTCCATCCCCTTCCCTCCCCTTCACAAACCGTAGCCCTGTCCCGAGCTTGCAGCTCAGGATTCGCTGGCCAAGGCCCGGCTCTCGGCTGGCCACTTTGCTGAATGGAGACCAGGGTGGTAGGTCTGCCCTCCCTCCCCTCCTCCCCAGGTCAGGGACTGTGGAGGTGTGTGCTTGCAGGTGGGACAATCCCCCTAGATGTTAAGGAGCACATATTTCACTGTATAATTGGGCAACTAGCATCTATTCCATTCGCCTATGATCCCCTTACCTAACTGCTTTGATTTCTCCTTGTTTCGTGAAGCTCATAACAAATAAGTAAAAATTAAAACCTAGAGGGAATTTAATAGTTAAACCAGTAGTTACAACAATGGAAATTCATTCTCTCGCAGTTCTGGAGGCTAGAATCAGAAATCAAGAGGTCAGCGAGACTATGCTCCTTCTGAAGGCTCTGGGGAGAATCCTTCCTCATCTCTTCCAGCTTTCTGTGGCTCCCGGCAATCCTGAGTGAACCCTGGCTCATGACGCCGTTCCTCCAGTCGGCCCCCATCGTCACGTGGCCTATTCCTCTGTGTGTCTGTCTGCCCTGTGCCTGAGTGCTCTCTCCTCTGGTTATAAGCCACCAATCACTGGACTTAGGACCCATCCTAATCGGATGACTTCATTGCAACTTAACCAGTTATATCTACAAAGACCCTATTTCCGAATAAAGTTACAGTGTGGGTTTCCAGGAGGACACGATTTTGGGGGCGGGACCCTATTCAACCCACTGTAGGAGAAGATCATGCCTTCTCATTTGAGCTTTTATTGAAGATTGGAGGTAGACATACAGCCTACTGTGAGTCATACGCGGGCTCAGCGTGCTTTCCAAATATTCGCTATTGATAACCAGCATCTTGATTGTTGATAACGAATGACTGAAAGTGCCATCTCACCCCTCGGGGGTTTGCGTGGGGCCATTGCTAGTCCCACAGTGACAGGAAGGAATGGACCCGTCTTCATGGACTTGTACTGGAAGGGTACGTGCTTACAGATCAGCTGTGAGGAGCCTACAACGTGACCGTCTGGGACGGGGATACAAAGGAAGGGTCCCCCAATAGCTCATGCTCGAGAAAGTTGCACTACTGTGATTCATTGAAACATCTTGAAACAAACTGGGGTCAGTAAATGAGTGGCGCATTAGTTATGTGGAGTGTTTCCGTGACATTTGATGACTGCAGAGCAAAATGTTCCTCCCGCTTGACTGGGTTATAGTGTATCCTCGTCGGTCCGGAGGGCAGCTGCCGTGAGCTGTGCCCAGGGGAGGTACCACACAGCTGTGACGTGGTCCTGCGGCGGGTCCAGCATCTACAGGGCAAGTGCTAATGGAGTGGCCCTTGTTAGGTTTGCTGGTGAAGGGGGTGCGGGCAGCTCAACAGTGAGCAGCCACTTAAAATGGAAGGTGGGGCAAAGGGGCGCAGCTCACGGCCCTCTGCTTGGCTTCCCAGCAGCTCCCACCTGCTGCCCTGAGGTAGGTCTGTCCCTCATGTTGATGGGTCTCGCCTTTTCCTCCCCAGTGGTGGCTCCCCTCTACCACAAGGGGCCTCGCCGGCAGTGGCTTCGGCTGCCCAGTGCGGGGCAGGGAAGGGGGGTCGTGCATCCTGGGGGCCCACACTGGGGATGCCATTGTCTGCAGGACAGACGTGGGGGCAGGCCTGTGAGGACTGGCGGTTGTCCTGGGTGTGGTCCCGGTGGACCCCTTTCCTTGGGGTTCTGAGGATGGTGTTGGTCCGAGGGCCACTCAGGGACGGCATAGGCCTTGTAGGCCCCACTTTACCTCTTGCTGGACTTGCGTATGGTCTCTGAATCAGGTGGTCATTTGCTGCCTTTGTGGTTGTGAGTAGTGGCCCTGTTTTCAGTGACATTTGTTAGCAGGCTCAGTAGGAATAGCTGGGGAATGTTCAGATTCAGGAGAAGGACAGACACCATATAGTTTCACTTACAACATAAATCACCAGTAACCCATCCTAAATTAGCCCAGGGGTCCAAACAGTTTTTTTTTTTCCCCCCCAATGCATTTTCTATGTACACAGTTCTCCTTTGAGTTTAATTTGAATGGTTTTGTCTTTTCTTAAAATTATTAATAGGGCCTTCGTGCAGGCTCTTCTGGTGTGACACAGTATATAGGGTCTTGGAAGGGGCAGGGCTGATGGAAAAAAGAGGGCCAGACCATTCAAATCCCACACAGCTTGGGAACCAGAGCACAGACAAGAAATCACAGTAAATCAAGACATGTTTCTAACAAATGAAGACATACTATAGTAAATATGAGGTTCTACGTTGGGAAAAAGGTGAGCGACAGAAGCTCGTTGAGGGGCAGGAAGGAACACGGAGCCGAGGGCAGAGGACTCCGGCTGTCCTGTGCGTGCCACATCCGGCTGGCCAGCTACCATGGGCGACCGTCCCGCCGGGTGTCATCCGCGTGCCGGAGGAACCGGTGGGAACACGAGGCGCCCTTGCCAGCCTGATGTGGCTCCTTGCTTGACCAGTGGAGGACGAGCTGGAGGTTGGCTTTCTCCAGCAGAGCACGCGTCGGTCAGAGCATCACGGCTGTAGGCCTTCTTCTCTTCGTGGCTGTTTGGTTTGGCCAATCTCGGGCCCGTTTCAGTCCTTGCTTTTTTCCCGGTGAAGGATGCTCACTGGGTGCCCCGCGCTCGGACGGCCTTGGTATGATGTTGCCTTCAGGCCTGTGTCCCCGAGTCGCACTTTTATGACTTGGAGACAGTGGATACTAGTTACAAAAGGAGGTCTTAGCTTACTAGGGGTTGGTAAAGGTATCCGAAAAAGCAAAGATTATTTGACTACGTTCTTTTCAAAGATTAATAATCCAGCCCTGAATATGCGAAAGCCCCTTTTGTTGGTCTCCATCTCCAGTCCTCTCTCTCCCCACCTCCATCTCTGTCTGTCTGTCTCTCTTTGTTCCTCACGCCCTGTGTGTGTGTGTGTGTGTGTGCGTGCGTGTGTATGTGTGCATGTCTGCTAACACCATAGGAGAGAATTCTTTTAAAAGTTAATGAAGGAGTTGCAGTGGAAACCTATTAGATTTTCCTTCCATTAAATGCCTGCTACAGACTTTTAATGGATGTTTTTAACTAGGCATTGTTATCAAAAGGACTATTGCACAAATTAAAACCAGGCCTACAATCTGTGAAGAGAAACTGGATTTACTTTGTGCCTTTAGGTAAAACAGAGAGGAGTAGGGAGGAGGTGAATTCCACATTGGTATTTTGAGAAGTTGGATTCAGGAAGATAGCCAGTACTACCTAGAGCTACGGAAATAGTAAAGCACTTTGCAGGGGTCTGTCTTTGTAAAGTTCCTGTTAAGGAACCTGGATTTTTAGGGGTATGTGAATGTTAATTTTAAGCTATTATATTGATATTTAAAATACCTTTTTAGCTTTTATGGGACTGCACCGTGCTTTCTGTATTTCAGCGTGTGAAGCTGTACTAAGAAGGGAAGATTAGGCTTTTCAGATTCACTGATCTAGACCTGAACTGTCTCCTTACCATAACCATAAGCATACGGACTTTCTAGAACTGCTGGATTTTTGGTTTCTCATTTTATTCTGA